CCTGGACGGGGGGGCCTGATGTGGGGGCCTGGACGTGGGGCCTGGACGCGGGGGCCTGATGTGGGGGCCTGGACGTGGGGCCTGGATGCGGGGGCCTGATGTGGGGGCCTGGACGTGGGGGCCGGATGCGGGGGCTGGATGCAGGGGGCCTAGACTTGGGGAGGGGGGTTGGACATGCGGGGCCTGGACGTGGGGACCTGGTCGAGGGCACCTGGATACAGGGCCTGAATGTGGGGCCGGCCGCAGCCATGCACCAGATGGAAGCAGAGCCCAGCGTGGGGTGAAAGATCATGGGTTTGGAATCCCCGGGCCCGGGGCCAACCCCAACTCTGCCACCTTCCAGCTGTGGCCTTGGCCAGGTCACTGACGCCTGGGCCCATTTCACAGCCAGAGAGAGGGGATGACCATCTGCGACTTGCAACTTTCTGGGATGTGTGCATCAGGCCTGTTGGGACAGGCAGGCGATCGTGGCCCTGATAACTCAGCACTGGAGCCAGACAGGCCGGGACTCTAATCTCAGGCCCATCCCACTTATTATCTGCCTGGCCGTGGGCAGGCCTCGATCTCCCCAGCTAGGAAATGGGGTATGTACCCTGCTGAGTGTGACGCCTGGAGGCAGGAAGTCACTCAGCAAACAGGGCTGCTATTGGCACTAATGGGCACGTAGCCTCTGCTGGGGTTGTCCCACGGCAGGTCCCAGGGGGGTAGCTTCCAGGGGGGGCAGATCTGCCTACACAGGGAGAGGGTAGCACTGGGGGGCGGTGTGCTCCCCCAGTGCCGATGGCAGGCTCTGCTCCGTGAATTCTGCACCAGGCACTGTCCTCCCGGAGACTCAGGGCAAGGGACACCGGACGGAGCCGGGCGGGGTGCGCGCTCAGACACACACAGGGCTTCTGCCTCCGTACATGGGGTCCAATGGTCGGAGATCAGAATTCACGGATGCGTGACAATGCTCAAGCCTCGCCAGAGCCGAGAGGAACCCCGGCCCATGGCCAGGATGCCAGGGAGGAGGAAGGCCGGACGCAGCTCAGGACCCTCTCTGCCACCCCAGAGGGGCCCGGACGGAGCAGGTACTCAGTGTCTGAGGCTGCTTAGCAGAGGTGAGGGAGAAAGGGCACCCCAGGGGTCTGGGACACGAGGGGGAAGGTCTCAGGGACGTGAGGGAGTGCAGAAGGCTGCCTCGCGGGCAGGACCAGTGTCAGGGGCTCACGTCACCAAGCCCTCCAAGCCAGACACAAAGTGATTTAATGCCCACGATCACCCTACATGGTATCAGGCCCCAGACGCCGTGGCCCAGGACACGAGGGCCTCGTCTGGGTCAGGCAGCCTGGCCACTCGGCCCCGGGGGGACCGTGGCCTCTGTCCACTCCCACGGTCAGCTTCCACCGCCGCCAAGCTCTGAGTGTGGCCCGGGGCAGGGGCTGCACCTGACCGCTTCCTGCACCCACGGTAGGAGCTGGCTGTCTGCACGTGGGGCCTGAGGCCGCCGGCGGCCTCCTCCCCCAGGTCAGGGGTCACAGCCGAGGCTCCCAGGCTCGATGAGCATCTCATCTGTGTCTGGGATCTGGACCGCTTGGTCTTGCCCACCCGCCCACTGGGACATGGGCCTCCAAGGCTGATGTGGCAAAGGCATTGCCGCCTGCCAGGCTAGGCTGCCGTCAGCAATTAGCTGGCTTGGAGCCTGGTGCCCGGAGCCTTCTAGAAAGACATTGGCCCCATCTGAGCCACTGACAAGGCCAGGGATGTGCCACTTAGCATGTCCAGTTGTAATTTCCTCAATGACATGTCTCGGGGTCTGGAGCCTGCAGAAAGGGCAGGTAAGGGGTCAGCTCTGGGGCCTGAGAGACCTGGGGTCAAAGCCCAGCTCGGCACTCGGCAGCTCTGTGGGCCTGGAGAAGGTCCCCTGCCTCACTCCACACCCAGGGAACGGGAACATCAAAGCCTAGCATCTGGGGTTCAGCCGTGCGTGAGAGCAGAAAGGGCCTCGGGGTGCAGAGTGTCAGTCAGCACGGAGGGGTGGGCCCCTGGTCCTGACTCAGGGTGAGTCCTGCCTATGCCCGGCTCCCTCCTCTAAGAGGTGGGCACTCACCAGGGCTGTTGAGACACATGTTGGCAAAGCGGCCACCAGGGCTCGGAGCACACAGTTGGTCCAAGGGCATTGCTGTTCTGATGGGGGGCTCATGCTGTTTGTTGCTCGCCCCGTGAGGCACCATCAGGGGTGAAGACAGTCCCCGCCCTCCAGAGATGGGGGGCAGTGACACCTCGTGACAAGGGCTCCCACTGGGCAAGCACCATGCCCAGTGAGCAGGGAGCCCCATGCTGGGGCCAGAGATCAGGGCGTGAGCGATTCTGCCCACCCCCCAGGGACCCCCATGGGCCTCAGTGTCGGCATCACGGCACCAGCCTGCCTCCAACCCCCCGGGGAAAGCGCCACGCAAACGTACAAGGCCCCAGTGCCCTGGCCCGAGGCTGCGGGGTGACTGTCCACTCCGGTGCACAGGGGCCTGGCTCCCTCTGTCCCCCATCAGCGTGGAGGGGTTCAGACCCTACGAGCCTCATCTGGGCGGTTTGGTGGCCCCCTCCACACACACGGGCCAAGAGGTGAAGTCAGACAGAAGGAAGAAACACTTTTAACTTGAGACGACCCGCTGCCAATGTTTTCTCTTTGGGAAGTAGAGGTCTCTCTGGGAGGAGACCCCAGGATTCCACGGGCAATCAGCCTTTGGGGTGGCAGTGCTTCCCAGAACCAGCTCAGGCAGCCTCTGTGACACCAGGGCGCCCCCTGCCCCGGGACACACCTGCTTAGCAAACCTGCAGCCCGGAGGGTGCAGGTGTGTATCCATTCCCCTCAGCGAGGACACCAGGGGCAGAGAGTGGGCCTCCCTCCCCAAGGGTACACGCCACGGAGGTGTCAGGGAGACCCACCTGACCCCACATGCACCTGGCTTCACCTGCTCCCGGTGCTAGAATGGGCGGACGCCTGGGAGGGGCTCACGCACCTCAGGAAGAGCTCTATGTGGACCACGGCCGGCGCGATCTTCTCCACCACGTCCGCGATGAAGTTGAACTTGTACCGTGGGCTGGTCAGCTGGTGGAGACCTGCACTGGCAGGAAGAACCAGGAGCATTAGTGAGGCGCCCGAACCCCCACCCAGGAGGAAGCTCCCCCAGGGACCCCACCAGGCTCGGAGACCCTCAGCGATGCCCCAAACTCAGCAGCACAGTGACACCCAGACGTTTGGGAGGGGGCTTCTTTGCCCCAAGAATAGCGAATGCTGAGCTTCCTCACATTACCTCACTGGACGCCACCAAGCAGGCCAGGAGGCTCAGAGCAGTGAGGACACTTGCCCTCGGCTGTGAGCAGTGACAGGACATTGGAGCTAGATCTGGGCCAGCCCCCGGGGGCCCTGACCCTTTCTCTGATAGACGGCAGTGCCCCGGCTTGAGGCAACCGTCCCCTCCCCTGCGGCTCTGGCCTGTTGCTCCAGCCCTGGGGCTAAAGCAGTGATTGGGCAAGGGTCCGGCAGGGGCCCCCGGCTCGCCCTTCCAAGCTGCCCCAGTCTGGCCATGGTGTGACCCCCTCCTGGGCCCCGCGGGGCTCCGATGTCTGAGTCGCCAGGGCCCCCTATCCAACTTGGCCAGGCCCCAAGTCCAACTTGCCGGGTGGTTCACGAACCCCCCTGGAACCTTTGCCGGCTCAGATTTCTGCTGCTGTCAGCAGCGGGGGCTGCCGCCTGCCAGAACTGCAGGCCTGAGGGATGTGGGTGGCACGGGGCCCACACCCCTTTGGTCTCCCTTGCTTGGGCATGTGCCGAGGCCCCTCAGGTCCCCCCCGGAGACTGGCGCTACCTGGAACCCATGGTCCCCGAATGAGCTTATGCCTGGAGCTGGGCGCATGCCGGGCTTGGCTGGGCACCCCTCCTCCAGCTGTGTGGTTTAGGCAAATCACTCGCCCTCTCTGGGCCTTGATTCCTAGTCTGAAACTGAGACTGAAGATGACCCCTCCTGCCCTGTGGGAACTGGGTAGGAATGTGACTTGCGGGTGCGAAGCTCCCTGCCCAGGGGAGCCCACCATGCCCCCTGGCACCTGGGTCAGTGAGCAAACAGGGCTTGGCCTGTGAAGGCTAGTTTTGCAGCTGAGGCATGAGGATCTAGTGAGAATCTGGTTTTCCGTTTTGTCCAGAGGGACAGGAGGTCATGGTGAGTGTGGCCACCCTGCATGCCCCATAAACATTTGTGGGCACATCCCAACTATTCTCCCCATGTCCAGGGGGCAGCCAGGGCGGGGGTCACTGCCTCCCTCTCAAAGGTGGGGCGACTGTGGGGCTGGGTGATAAATCCTCCTGCCCGAAGACACATATCGAGTTGGAGAAGGCACGTTCCGAGCTTGGGCCGGGGGCTCGCTTCCTTAGGAGCCCCTCACCCATCCCCAGTGGCTCCCTCATGCCCTGACTGTCTATTATGCCCGGACTGGGACTCTGGGTCTGGAGAGGGCTTGCCTCAGGCTCCAAGGTCAGGGGTGGAGAGGAAGCCCCACCCACCAATTCTATGATGTCCGTCTCTCAGCCAGGCAGTGGGCGTGGGACATGGGGGCGCAGGCCACTGTGGTCAGCCTGAATCAAAGGCGGCCTGTCCCGGGGTGGCCGGAGCCCAGCTGGGAGACATGGCCTGTGGCTGGCCATGGCTGAGGCCCCTCGCCCAACCAACTGCAGGAGGCCAGGGGCTACCTGCCTGGGAGCCCTCCCCCAGGTGGCAAAACCCTCGGAGGGGTGGGGTTTAGGGTTCAGAGCTCACAATAACAAGGGCCCCAGGGGCTGGTCCCACTCTGGTTCCACACATTTATTTCCACGCAGCATTGCGAATTGTCCCTGAAACTCTACAGTTTCACTAGTCAGCTGTGGGGGCTAAGGCCAGCTCGGTCTCCCCTACCCCGAGGCCCCTGGAAACCCAAACCATGCTCTTGCCTCCAGGCAGAGGAAGGAAACCAGTCACAGAAACTGCTGTCCTGTCGGGTTCTGGTCTCTAACGGGACACTCCTCACCAGGTAATTCCCGTGGCCCTGGGACCTCAGAGGACCTCCGCCCCAGGCCCTTCTCCCTTCCACGGGTCGGGGCTTGGCAGGGTCTGCAGGTCTCCCTCATGTGCTGGGTTCACCCCAGCCGAGGTGCGTGCCCACCGTGCCGTGCTGGGCTGGGCAGTCCCCAAGGGCCACGTCAGGTGTCACCCCCTCAGCTGTGTAACCTGTTGGGCCATTTACCCCAAGTCTCTGTTCCATCACCCGCCGTTCTGTGCCCCACCTACACAGACCACTCCCCACTGCTCCCTAGCAAGATGCTCCAGCTTGTCCCGGGCACAACTCAAATCCCACCTCCTCCAGGCAGGCCCCTGGCAGGCTTCTTCCAGCAGAATGAGTCTCTCCTTCCTCGGGGTTCCCAGAATAATGCCCCGCCCTTGGCACTCCCTCTCACATGGGGCATATTCAATCCACGCATGCTGAGTGTCTCTGTGTGCCCTCTACGCCAAGTACAGACGAGTGACCAGCCAGGCACAGCACAGGGTGACAGGGGATGGGGCAGAGGGAAGCCCAGGGATGCCTCGATCCAGGTCCCAAAGACTTCAGAGCCTGAGCCCTCCCTGACCCAGGGCCTGGGGCACCCCCATGGGGCTCCAGGGTCAGCCAGCTGGTGACCTGGGCCCTGCCAGGCCCTGTCCCTTTAAGCAGACCAACCGTGGTGGGTGGTGGGGAGGGGGTGGTGGGGCGGGGCAGGGCCAGCTTCCTGGTCCTCCTCCCCACACACAGATGAATCACCCCATGAATCAGTGGGAAGGGAGGACTCGGTTCCCACCGCTTCTTCCCACATGAAAACCTTGGGCCCCACGGCTGGAAAGCAGACGCTGTTTATTTGGGGTTTTGACAACCCCCACCCCCACCCCGTCCTCCAGCCAAAGTTCTGAAGTCAACAGTCAGTCCCGACCAGATTCAGCTGTTAGCATTTTGTTTTATTTTGTTTTCAAAAATAAACTGTAATCCACAGGACTTGGAAGTTCTAGTTGGGAGGAATTTGACACAGAGCAAAGCAATCAGGGCCAGGTGTCTTGTGGCGCCACCGGGGAGGGGAAGGGGCACAGCCAGGATGCGAGCGAGCGCCTGGGACCACGCACAGCAGGGAGAGGAGCTGGGCTGCCGGGCTCCGACCCAACATTCTTGCCTGGCAGAGCTCAGGGACAGTGGCAAACCCTGAAAGAGGACTCACCATATGCCAGCTCTGGACAGTCGTAATGCCATGGAACAGATGGGGAGACCGAGGCCCGGAGTGGGAAACTGACTAGCTCAGACGTTCCGCAGGGCCACTTTGTACTGCTGCTACGCAGGCTGGGAACTGCACGAGTCCATTATTAACAAAGATCACGGTGCGCCCAGCTTCCCTTGCACAGCCTGCCCATCTGTAGGCACCACCCCTCCAGCACATAATGGGCAGCCGGGACAGAGACCCAGGTCTGTTCCGCTAACCCTGAGGTCATTGCCCTTAGTCTATCAGAAGAAGCCCCCACCTGTCACCCAGTGGTTAGCTATGAGCTGGGATGGAAGGGCCATCAGCAGATGACCACAAAGCCCCAGCTGTGCCCATCTGTCCATAATGCTATACACAGCCTGCAGACTAGATGACAACATCTTATCAGTGCATTCAAGGACCTGGGTGTCCGGGTTCCATCTGCATTTGCAGGCTCGCCTACTGCCACTCTCCCCTCTGTACCCCCAGCTCTGGTTCCCTCTGTCAGCAATTGCCCTTCTCTCATCCTTCAAGCAGGCTCAGTGACCACAACCACCCCTCTGGGTTCCACAGCCCCTCGGAACCCCTCCCAAGGCGTGTCCCTCGGAGTGTCCTCATTGCCTGGGTGCCCCCAATCCACAGCACTGAGCAGGGAGCAGTGAGAGAATGAGTGAATGAGCAAGGGGGTGCACGAATGCTCTGTGGGGACAAATGCACCATCTCAGGGGCCCCTCCACGGCCCCAGCCCCCACCCGCAGGCCCCACGCACCCACCAGGGGCAGGCTTTGAAGCCCCAGGAGCTGCCTCCCGGGTCTAATTAGTCCTTAGAACAGTTTCCTGTGTTTTTCTTGATCTTGAAAACTTGCCTGTCCCCAAGTGACTGCCTCCCCCCCGAGCCAAGAACAGGGGCTCCAGATCCCACTGTGGCTCCCAGGGGCATGGTGCTGCGGTCTGTGGCCCTCAGGCCCAGGCTCCTGTCCCTGGATGCAGGGCTCCCCCCCTTGCACGGGTCCTGCCCAGCAGCCGCCATTCGCTGGGCCCCGGACGTTTATGAGACCAGTGAACTCTCGAAGCTGTTCTGTGAGGCAGGATCTTTGCCCATTTCCTGGGCCAGGAGAACCCCCCACCCAAGGCCCAGAGCCAGGTCCCTTGACGCTGACCCCAGGTCCCTCCTCTGCTCTGGGCTGGTCCTCAGCCAGTGATGGGCTGTCCTGCCCAGGGGCACCCAGCTTGGCCAGTCTTCGGCTTGGGGTCAGTCTGGCTCCTGTAATGTGCTAACCTCATGCCATTAGCTTGTCTGTCCTTTACCAAAAGGGTACCACAGGCCAGGCAGGACTCTGGGTCACCATGGAAGCCAAGGTGGGGTCAGCCCCAGGCCCTCCTCCAACAGGAAGCATTCTCTGGCCTGACTGGTACAGCGGCTGACTCCTCTGGGCTCAGGCTCCCCAGCTGGGTCGTGCACTGAACAAGGTCAGTAGAACTCCCTTGGGCACATGGTAGCCCTTCCACAAACATGGCCTTCCAGCATCTTCCTTCCTCCACTACCTCTCCTTCTCTCTCACAAATTCCATTTATGTCAGAAACACCCACTTATCGGCACTGAGGTCTGTTCACACTAAAGTCTGTTAGATTTGACGCTGTGCAAAGCACTTTAAATTCCTCACCTCACTGATTGTCCAGGGACCCAGCCAGAAAGGTCCCATTTCACAGATAAATCTGAGGTGCAGAGAACTTAGGAGACTTGCAGGTGGGGTAGCTGGGACACACCCCTGAGCAGCTGGACGTGGAGAACAGAACTGAGTCCCAGTTCTGGGCTCTGCCTATCCTG